TTTTAAGTTTACATTTTAAATCAAAATGCATGTTTTTAAAGAGAGCTAAATATTGTAAATATGACATTTGAAATTTTGAAATGTTTAGCTCAAACATTGTAGAAATAGGAAAATTCTCTCACAATCCCACCACATAAAGGTGCCTCTATTATGGATGAGGCACAGTCCTGAATATTCTGTGCATATTCTCTGCCAGAGTGGGATCACGCAACACAACTATTTTGCTGAGCTTTTTTTTTGTTTTGTTTTTTTGGGTTTTTTTGGTCATTTAACATACCTAAACATCTTTTAATGCCAGTACACAATATTATTCCTTTTACAGCTGTAAATTTTTATCTTTTTAAAACCCAAAGTTAGAATCATTCAGTCACTTCGTGAAAAAAAGATTATATATGACTATCCCTTTTATTTTTCTGTTTATTTACTGTTTTACAAACAAAAATGAACTTTTCTATTTTTGTTTCTAAAGGATGCCTCAGTTTAGAGTAAGTTGAATGAGGGAACTATAGTATACATTTTCTCTGTGTGCAGAAGAAGCGACTGTAGTTAGGACTGCCTTATCCTGGTTTCGTAATCCCTCAGTCTCTTCTATAGAACTGTATTCTATAGTTGAGTTTAATGCATGGTAAGATTATGTGCAGAATCACTCATTGCAGTGAAGAAGCGGAAAGCTGGCATATGTGTGTGCAAAGCATCTGTACCCACTGCTTTCACATTTATCTTATTTAATCCCTTTACCAAGGAGTATGTAAGCATTATTCCCATTTTATAAATGAGGAAACTAAACAACACTTTGTTTCTATTTTATTTTATTTTATTTTTTGAGACACGGGTTCTAACTCTGCCACCCAGGCCAAAGTATAGTGTAGGATCATAGCTCATTGCAGCCTCTAATTCATGGCTCAAAGGATCCTCCTACCTCAGCCTCCAGAGAAGTTAGGTCTGCATCCATGTACCACCATACCCAGCTATTTTTTAATATATATGTATTTTTTTTATAGAGAGATGGAGTCTTACTATGTTGCCAGGCTGGTCTTGAACTCCTTGACTCACATAATCTTCCTGCCTCACACTCCTAAAGTGTTGAGATTACAGGTGTGAGCCACCACACCTGGCCTGTTTCTAATTTCCGTAAATGATTTTTAACCTTTATTCCTGACAGTGGAATATATTTATGCTATGCTTTCTCATATCCTAAATATTCTAACATAAGGTTAAAAAATCGTGATAAGGACCCGGTGTTTAAATCTTATTTGCCTATGAAAATCATACTCTTGTATGATTAAAGAATAAAAGCATACTCATATCTTTGCCTATAAAAATATTTTAATGTCTTTTGTGGCAATATACTATCATTTAGTCTTTCTCCCATTGAACACTAGTTTCCATTTCCTTGCAGTTAGGCCTGATTTTGTGATTGGTGCCTTCAAACATGAATCTTTCGTCATCTCTGTTATTTTCTTTTTTTTTTTTGAGACGGAGTCTCGCTCTGTCGCCCTGGCTGGAGTGCAGTGGCCGGATCTCAGCTCACTGCAAGCTCCGCCTCCCGGGTTCACGCCATTCTCCTGCCTCAGCCTCCCAAGTAGCTGGGACTACAGGCACCCGCCACCTCGCCCGGCTATTTTTTTGTATTGTTTTAGTAGAGACGGGGTTTCACCGTGTTAGCCAGGATGGTCTCGATCTCCTGACCTCGTGATCCACCCGTTTCGGCCTCCCAAAGTGCTGGGATTACAGGCTTGAGCCACCGCGCCCGGCCCATCTCTGTTATTTTCTTAGGATAGATTCTTTGAAATGCAATAACCGAATCAAAGGGTTGGATATTTTTTTTTAGGCCCTCAATTGCTTATTTGAAATCTATTTTTTGCCTTTCTTAAAATACATTAGTAGTGTTTCTGAGACTTTTCATTGCCATAACCTTAGTAAGTAAATGTGTAACCCTGGGATGAGGGAAAGGACTGGACAGGCAGGTAGAGGGGTGAGAGTTACTTTATGAAAGGTGCTGTGCTTGGGACATAGTAAGTGCTCAGTAAATTGTGGGCGTTATAGTGAGGCTAGTTATTCCTAGCACAGTATTAATAGCCTGCATCCCTAATAGAGTGCATGCCCTGGTGTTGTTTTTCTGGTAATAAAGGGCAGACTTATGTGAATAGTCTGACCTGTGGTTAGGTCCACTCAGTTGCCCATAATTGTAGTCGGGGTACAGAGTGGAAGTGAGACTCGCATTCATAACCACTACTGCATTAGTAGCATACTCCCATCATTGTTTTCCCACTTGGCATGTTGAAATGCTTTGGTGCGTTTACATAGAATTTTCTCTGCTTCCATGCCCTTCCTTCCTTTAACAGGATCAACTCTGGCTCACCCTCAGGTCTCAGCTTGGACAGGCAGTGCTCCCGGGTGGCTCCCTCTGAAGCCCGAGCTGGGTTGTGTGCTTTCTGTGGTGCCACTGGGGCTGTGTATGAGCAGCCTTCTCCTTGTTCCCGTCAGTCTGTATCACAGAGGGATTGCTGGAAAGTCAGTTTAAGGGAGTACCTTTTTTTAACAGAAAAAAATAATGAGTCATAAAAGTATGGAAGAATTTATGAAACAACAAAGTTCATTTGAGAGAATACTTTTTTAGGGGGGAACAACCCAAGTCATTTAAGTATGGAATAATTTAGTAAATAATATAGAAGACTTTTTTAACTGGGAGAGAAAATACAGGAAATAGTGTTGTAAGAGCCAGGCATGGAACAGATTCACTGGCAGATTTCTTTCAGAAAACAGCACAAAAACTAGTGCCATTAAACAACAGAAAAATGATGTGTGCCTACATAAAAGTTCAGAAAATTCTGTAGAGCAAAAACATAAGTAACGAGAATAGAAAAAATATTTTGTGTGAAAGAAAAATGGCCAATTTCCCTGCTAAATAATCCTCCAAGGGAAAAAAAAAAAAAAAAATATTAAAAAATTGGGTGAAGGACATAGGGAAATAACAAGAAAAATCAGTAGCCAATAAAACATGAAAAGTTCAAACTTTCTAATAATGAAATAAATGCAAATAAACGAATTACGAACCATCTCTCAGAGGGAGGGATGGGAAGCCAATCAGATTAGCAAAGAATAAAAAGAAATGTCCAATGTCTGGGGAGAGTGTGAGAAAGCAGGTTCTGTTGGTGGGGTTGTAAATTGTATGAAGTGTTTTGGAGGAAATTTTGAGGATTACCCACAATTTTGCTTGTAAATATCTTTGACTAAGCAGTTTATTTTATTTCATTTATTTATTTATTTTGGGACAGTTTCACTCTGTCACACAGGTTGGAGTGCAATGGTGTGATCTCGGCTCACTGCAACCTCCGCCTCCCGGGTTCAAGCGATTCTCCTGGCACAGCCTCCCAAGTAGCTGGGATTACAGGCACCTGCCACCACACCCGGCTCATGTTTTGTATTTTTAGTAGAGACAGAGTTTCACCATGTTGGCCAGGCCAGTCTCAAACTCGTGACCTCAGGTGATCCACCCACCTCGGCCTCCCAAAGTTCTGGGATTACAGGCATGAGCCACTGTGCCCAGCCCGGTTTATTTTATTTATAGGAATTTTTCAGAGAGAAACTTAAAAGCCTGTAAAGGTGCACTAGGCTATTCATTTGTATCGTTACTGATCATAGTGAAAATTTGGAAGGAAGACTGGTGTTCACCTGTAGAGGTTTATATAAATAAATTACCTGGCATCCATCCAGTGAAATGCTGTGCACCTGTTAGTGAATTAGATCAATATGTTCTGGCATGGTAAAAGAGACCAAGATATTTTATGTGACAGCTGCAATTTGGAAAACAATATGTGAAATATGGATCCCCCTACACACACTTTTAAAAACTATATATATAATATGTATCATTAAATTTGGTTTGACTATAGTGATACTCTTATTTTTCACCTCTTGGAAGCTGTATTGAGAAAGCACAGACTTGTGGAATGAATTTTTTCTCCTTCTGTGAGTGGTGGGATGGAGACTGCAGAGCCTGGATGAGTGACCGAGTGAGCAGTTGCAGCCCTGACCCACCCATGTGGCTTGGTAGCATCTGCTCTTCAGCTTTGCTGATACCACCTATTTTTGATTTCTTTCATGAAGGAGGACATGACTCATGAAGTATTAGGTTGGTGCAAAAGTAGTTGCTGTCTTTGCTGTTCCTTTCAATATTTGATGCACTAGTACTTATCTTTTGTTCGTTATTCCTGCTGCCATCTGTATATTTGTTTGTAAGAGTTTGTTTCTTTTGTGTTTTTAACAAAGTCTGAGAAAATCAACCAGCTCACTATTAAGCTGGACACAGTTGTCTGTCTTCCCAATTCGTTTTAGAGCAAAGTGGCATTTTTACAACAGACCTCAAAGGAGAACTTTTATGGCCTCTAAAGTCAAGATTTTATTTTCCCGTGTCAGTTCTTTGCATGGTTTGAGATTGCTAACTTGTGAGTTTGTTATTTTCTACATTATCAGAACATAAATCACCATGTTGTCTCAGTGATGTAAAAGTAAATACCATATTAGTCTCTCATTTTTGATACAAGGAAATGGAAGCATATAACAAGTGATAGGTCCAAGAATTCAAGTCAACTGCAGGAGAATTTATAATTAGACTTCTTAGTGTTCTGGAGGATGCCTTGTTCTGTGTCGCAGGTACATAGTAAATGCCTGATAGACTGATTGATGAATCTGTGGGTTCATCCACATTCCACATTGGTTTCTGAGTTTTCTAATACTGTTTCGCGCCGTTGCCACCTTACTGGACGTTGCAGTGCTATCCAGTAGAACTTTCTGCAATGATGGAAATGTTCTTGTTATGCACGACATCCAGTAAATCATATGTAGCTGTTGAAACGTGGATGGTAGTACAACTGAGAAACTGAACTTTTAATATAATTTTAATTAATTTAAATGTAAATAGTCATAAGTATATAGTTCTGTCACATATAATATTGCCTATTTGCTTTTTCTGTTTAATGAATATTGTGCATTTTCAGTGATTATTAAATTTGTTAGAGTCATGATTAGACCGCTGTATTTCTTCCTCTTAGGTATCTTGGGGTAGGTTTCAAACATGGGGTTACGGAAGTAGTATTTTAGAAAGACATCTTTGTCCAGATTATTTTTAGGTCTGTTATGGCCTATTGAATTGTTTTCCTTTATACTGGGAGATAGCCAAAAGCCTATTCTTGAACACCACATCATGTTACTGCAGCATGAGTCATTATCCCTGTTCCCTTGAAAATGGTCAGTGGGTCACGTTCACTCCATAGTCAGTTGTATGATGTTAGTCATACAATTTTTTTTTTTTTTTGTCCATGCCCTTATTAAGCAGCAAGCCACATTTTAGGCACTCAGTAGCCATATGTGGCTGGTGGCTACCACACTGAACAGCACAGATCTAGCAGACATTTATAGAACACTGCCCAACAGCTGTAGAATATACATTATTTCAAGTACGCATTGGAACTTTCTCCACGGCATACCATATGTAAAGCCATAAGATGGTCTCAAGTCACAAGATTGAAATCACACAATGTATTTTGTAGCTATATCAAAATGAATTAAATTAGAAACAGTAACAGTAAGCTACCTAGAAAAGCCTGTATATCTGAAAATTAAACAATATACTTCTAAATATCGGATGGTTCAGAAGGATTCTTATGGAAGATTAAAAGTTTCAAACTAAATGATAATGAAAATACACAATATCAAAATCTTAGGATATAGCTAGAACAGTGCATAGAAGGAAATTTAAAACTTCATGTGATTATATTTAAAAGGAATAGAAGTTTAAAATTGACCTGAGTTACCACCTTAAACTGCAAAATTAAAAAAAAAAAAAAAAAAAAAAAGATCCCCAAGTAAGTTAGCAAGAAGAAAATAAGGATAGAAAACTGGCAAATAGAAAATAGCAACTGCGGCCGGGCACAGTGGCTCTCGCCTATAAGCCCAGCACTTTGGGAGGCCGAGGCAGGCGGATCACCAGGTCAGGAGATCGAAACCATCCTGGCTAACACAGTGAAATCCCATCTCTATTAAAAATACAAAAACAAAATTAGCCAGACTTGGTGGCGGCGCCTGTAGTCCCAGCTGCTCGGGAGGCTGAGGC